GCCACATTCAAGGGAGGCCTTTCTTTTGGGGGACTTTTTGAGTTCTTTTTGAGTACAGAAGGGCTGTAAGGATGTTTTAAGAACATTAGTCAGCTTTCTGTCACTGTAACAGCACCTGAGATAATCAGCTTAGAAAGAAAAAAGGTCTATTTTGACTCATGGTTTCATATTTTCTATAGACTGTGAGGTTCTATTGGATTGAGTACCAGGGAGGACGAAGGAGAGCAAAGAGCCTATGGGTGTAGTTGATTCTGAAGGATTTTACCATAAGAGGGAGTAGAGAAATGAGGTGGGTGAGATAGATAAGGAATGAAGGGGAACTTTTTTATTGGAGAAGGGAATGTTACTGCACATTTACACATTAAGGGAAATGACGCAGTGGAGAGGAGCACAGTGGCCGTGCAGGAGGGGAAGGTGTCCTAGTCATCTTGGGATGCCATAGAATCTCAAGACTGGGTGGCTTAGGCAACAGATATGTATCTGCTGAAGTCTGGAGTGTGGAAGTCCAAGATCCGGTGCCAGCATGGTTGGGTGAAGCTGATGTCACCAGGCATGCCTTCTCTCCAGGGGTAGGGGCTGCCCATGGGGTCATCTCACAGAGAGCACTAACAAGGTGGAGAGCAGAATGTCTAAGGCAGTGGCGTTCTAGATCAGGTAAGATGTGTCAAATATCATTATTATTAAAACTTTAGGGCTCAAAGGTGAGAGGAGAGATGAGTGTGATGGCAATCCTTGGGTAGTTTGGGGAGTGGATTCAGTGCAGCAACAACAATCCTGGGTCATGCCCAGGCAGCAGTCAGTGTTGGAGAGACAAAATGGAAACACCCTCTTTTAGGAAGTTTTCTTTTTAAAACTATCTTGCTTTTCTCTGACATCATCAGAAGGTATGTTGGGCAGAAGGAGGTTCCTCTTTTATCTCATAAGCACATCTTCCTTCATTTCCATGGCCAGGAGTTGTAAGGCCAGGTCTCAACAGCACTGTTGAGGAAGTAGGCCTTGACCCACGGTAGGGTAAGTGCCACATGACTTAGGGGAAAGGGGCAGCACCGCAGCGAGGCTTCCAACCCCCCAACTCTGCTTTCCCAAAGGAGCTACTTTTAAATTAGCGTTCTCCACTTACATGTGGTTACGGAAATAAAATCTCTACAGTTCACACCAGGTGAACCAAGTGCGCGTCTTTTCTCATTTCATCCCTCTTGCAACTTCCCACCTAAGATGCCCTTCTGCAGGGAAATGCCCTCTAGGGAAATATGGCTGAAGAAGCAGAGTATTTCTTTACTATTTGACTTTAGAAATTTTTTTTCCCCATAAAATTAGCTCCATTCCCTCTGATTTTGAGGTTGAAAAGAGAAAATCTTTTGGGTCCATGACAGCCTTTGATGTATCCTGATTTCTGCAGAAAGCTTGTTTTTATAACTATGGCCCCTGGAAAGCAGGGAAGGCCCATTGAAAGAGTAGAGGCTCTTTTGGGCTTGTTCCTTTCTGACTCTTCAAGAGAAAGAATATTTTCTGTCATGTTTCCCTGCCTCTAAAATCTACTCCAAAGAGACCTGTCCCCGTGGTCACTACAATTCCATCTATAGATACAAATTTGCAGGCTGGGAATCTTACCCATTCAGTCGTCTCACTCCAGCTGCGGGAGCCATATTTGTGTTTCAAAGTGTGTTTCTGACTTAGACACATAAAGAAATTACTTTCTAATAAATGGTTACCTGTACTTTGAATCATTGAAACTTTATAAGATCTCATTGAGGTTGGAGATCTCAAACTTTTGGTGTTCTATGAGCTTTCATGAGAGGGAAAATGGAAAGAAATCATGAGGCCACAGAATTTCATAAGATGAACAGGAAAAAAAATCCCATTCCATTTGTGTAGACTTTTCAGTGGTGACACTGCACAGGGAAGGGAGTGTGAGGGGACAGGAGATTCACATTTACAGGGTGGCTCAGTCAGCTGAGCATCTTCTGGGTGCTTGTTTCTTGCCCTGTGGAATTACCTGCAACAACACCCAAGCCTGTGCTCCTGGGCCTCCTTCCCCCTCATTATCCTGCCCTCTGCCCCATACTCCCACCACCCCCACTTTCTAAACACATTTCTGAGCCTGGTTGAGCTAAGGCAGGGGAACCAGGGGTATGGAGGGTTGGCCCTCTGGAGACACTGTGGGGTTACTCAGGTCCAGAGAGATGGAGACCACTGCCTAGATTTGCTCATGAAGTTCTTGGGGCCCTTTTCCAAAGCCTTGTGTGTGTGTGTGTGTGTGTGTGTGTGTGTGTGTGTGTGTAGAGCTGGATTTGGGTAAGTTGAGAATTGAAGAATTACCATACAGACTATTTTTTTGAGAATTTTTTTTCTAAAAATGAGAGTTATAAAAACCTCAAGGAACTTCTAAGGAGAGTTTATTTCCAAAAATGCAGGACTAGAAACAGATTCAAGTGGAAGGGCCAGGAGAGAGTGAGAAAATAGAGATATGGGTCAATGAGGAGACTGCTCACAGCCAGAAGAGGACTACCCTTGAGCATCTTTTGTAAGCCAACATGGTACCTTGTGTAATTCCCATAATAACCCTGTGAACTGGGCAGGGGCAATGCCCCATGTACAGGTGAGGAAAGTCAGCTAAGCATCTTGCCCAAGGACCTGTAGCATCTAAGGGGCAGAACTGTGATATGATCCCAGATCAGTTCAACTAGAAAGATTATTGCTTTTCCATTGTAACCACTGGGGGAACTTGGTTTTAGAAGTCTGCTCTGGCCACACTTCTCGAGCTCCAAGAATGCAGCGAGGCATTGCTGTCTAGTGTGACTTTCCTCTCTGACTTGCTCACGTTGGTTTATTGGGTATACTCTTCGATGCTCACACCCAGGGCTCTGTAGGTTGGGGGCAGGCTCCCTGCGACTCCCTGATCAAGAGTGTGTTGAATTGTATCTCATGCTTTGCAAGGTGCAATGGTTCACTCAAGCTCCAGATAGTGACAGCCACTGCCTGCTTGGTTCTTTTCGTGGGAAACTACAATGCCCTCAAGGTGTCACATACCTGCAAATAACACAGCTCACAATTCCCATGTTTTATAGAGACCTTGTTGAATTTGGAGGTGAGTGATGTGATGTCAGGAAAAGCCGTGGGAAAAAATATTCAATATCGAATGCTTTTTATAATTTAATTGCTGCCTGTTCCCAGGCTGAATTGAATTCTGGCAGACGTGTTCTTTTCATAGTCACAAAATACATTGCGATATGCAGCAAATAAAATGTAGCTCTGGGGTTTTCTCTGCTAATCACAATGAAAAGAATCTGGAAATGTTATTGTCTGTTGATAAACACTTTGTGCATTCTTGCAACCAGTTCTAATTAAATTTATCTTAAACTCAGTTTCTTAAATTGTACAGACAATGAAGAGAATCAGATGATTATTCTAATACAGAAGACATAAACTCACCCAAACTGCCTGTACTGCCTCGTGGCTTTTCAGTGCCTTGGCGTAGTCCTGCCTTGGATGAGGGAGCCCTTGGAATAGGGCACAGTACCCAAGGGGTCTGAGTTCCCGTTCTCTTCATTAAAGAAGCACATTGAAGATTAACGGGAACATCTATCTCCTCAAAGCCTGCTGTTGGGACTCTGAGATTGGAACTGCCTGGTCTTTCTGGGAGCCCCATAGTGGGCAGGGACCACATCCTTATTTCCTTGAACTTGGAACTTGGGAATGAGGGGAATAGGATAATAGGATAATGAAGGGGAATAATGAAGGGGAATGAGGAGGCGCAGGATACTAGATGGTCCAGACTACCTTTGAAAACACCCACTTCTCCAAGAGAATTGTCCTAGTGTTAGATGTACACAGAATGAGCCAGGATTAAATGGATTTCAAATGATTCCTTACCCTCCCTATAGGTGTCTGAAGTCTCTCTGGAAGTGTTGGCCTAAGCGTATTGTCTCAGTTTCATTGGTTCCTTATGAAATACGTCTTTTAAAAATAAAATGAAATCTCCATGACCTATCCTAGTGAAGATACTCCTGTTGAAGAATAATGAGCTGCTTTTTGGAGGAGATGTTCCATTTCTCCACAGCCAGAAGAGTTAAAAACACCTGCCCCCGTCTTGAGCCATTCTCATTTCCTAGCCAGAGGGATTGGATGCAGCATCCTTACTTTCTTTTTTAAAAAACTTGTTCTTTTTAGTTATACATGACGGTAGAGTCTATTTCGACATATTTGTACAAAATGGAGTATATCTTATTCTAATTAGGATCCCAGTCTTGTGGATGTACATAATGTGGAGATTTACTGTGGTGTGTTCATATGTGTACATAGGAAAGTTATGTCAGATTCCTTCCACTGTCTTTCCTGTTCCTTTCTCAGTTCCCTTCCCTTTGTTCCCCTTTATTTAATCCACCGAACTTCTATTCTCCCCACCCCCTTGTTGTATGTTAGCATATACATATCAGAGAGAATATCTAAACTTTGGCCTCTTGGGATTGGATTATTTCACATCTCTAGCCATTAGAGAAATGCAGATTAAAACTACACTGAGATTTTACCTCACTCCAGTCAGAATGGCAATTATCAAGAATACAAGTAGCAATAAATGTTGGTGAGGATGTGGGAAAAAAAGGCACACTCATACATTGTTGGTGGGACTGCAAATTGGTGTAACCACTCTAGAAAACAGTATGGAGATTCCTCAGAAAACTAGGAATGGATCCACCATTTGACACCTTGGTATGTATCCAAAGTAGTTAAAATCAGCATACTACAGTGATGCAGCCACATCAGTGTTTATCGCAGCTCAATTCACAGTAGCTAAGCTATGAAACCAACCTAGGTGTCCTTCAACAGATGAATGAATGTGGCACCCTTTCTATCTCTGTGTGTGCGTCAGCTCAGCGTTAGCCTACAGTGTTCTATCAGACTTGGTCACAGCACTTTAATGGGGTGTCAGGGTGTGGTCTTCTTTTTTCAATAGGAATGCCCACGATTGCACTTCATCAAGGGTGTCTTTTCCCCAACAGGTTCTTAGCATGATAATCAACGCAGCCTACAAGCCTGGAAGGGTGTTAAGGGAATTGCAACTGGTGGAAGATCCACACTGGAATTTCCAGGAGGAGACGCTGAAAGCAAAGTAAGTGCTCTCAATCCTCGGGCACAGGGTTCTGCTAATTTGCTGCCACTTTGCCTGCTGTTATGAAACCTGGCATTTCTCATTTTGATGTATTTTATAGAACTGGAAACAAACCCGAGGACCATCATTCTGTAGTTCTATGTGCTACATACAGATTTATTGGTGGTTTTGCTATATTTTATAGTTGCCTTACGGCTTACGATTTCTAAGTGAAACAGGAATTTGCTTACATAATTTTTTTTAATGTTACACACTCAAAATATATATTTATTGCATTTCTGAGCCCAGATTATTTGTTCATAGGAGAAACAATTACAAAGAAAGGATACTTCTTGTCAGGTTCATTAATAGCTCTTAATATTTGATATTATGCAGAGTTTGTACCAAATGCAAGGGGGCTCTACTCTGGGATTTGAAGATTTTCAAAGATAAAAGGAACTGATTTATCTATTTAATTTGACTTAATTAAAGTGGCAGTCGGCTCTGGGTTGACATGTAGTTGTGTAACTTTCCTTTCTTTGGAAGCAGGCTAATTGGAAAGGTGAGATTTTTGCTTTGTTTAAAGTTTCTTGACCTCTGAAAACAAGAGCAGAAACTGTATCAATGTGCTTGAACTTAGTTATTGAGAAGTTCATAGAAAAGATTGATTTCTTAAGGTAACTTAATGTTCAATAATTACTTGGAGTTGTCAGGGCTTTTAATAATCATTTATGGTTTTCCGATAGAGAATATCTTACTGGTTGATTTCTCTTTATAGTGTCCTAAAATATCATTGATATATAGCATTTAGGAAATGATGCTTCTTTGGAAGAATGAGCCACTTTTTGATGGCTCTAGTATATCTATCTAAGTTTAAACAAGGTGCCTGCCACATTTATAGCGAAAACTGAGGAATTCTTCATAATTTGGACAGCCAGAGATGGTTTTCTTGGTAGTGAGCTCGCTGTATCTCCCCATTCCTTCTCAGTCACCCACTCTGTATTCCCAGTGTCTCTGTAGAACAGCTCTATCATTTTAGGTTCTGCAAAAGTCAGGTAAGGGCTAGTGGGACTGCCAAATCACAAAGGCTACAAGCGTATGCATACATAAGGTGAGGGCTTATAAAGTGGCAGTGAAAGGTATCACTGCATGACACCATCCCTTCCTTACTGAGAGACTCATATGAGCCTTGTCTATAGCTCAGAGAAAACCAAGTACTTTCCTGTCGAGTATTCCTTTCTCTCTTACTTTCTAAGGGGGTCACCAGCCACTGAAGCAGATTTTCTCCTAAGGATTTGTCAGTGGTGAAGGTGGAGATCTTAATCAAGTATTCATACATAAATTCTTTCTTCTTGTTTCAAGTATCTTCTATAGGGTTCGGTGCAGTCCAGACACACCTAAAGGATATGGTAAATAGTGAAAGCACAAAGATTTTCCATTCCACGAGAAGCTCTGCTCCTAAAGCAGCCAGAAACTTGCTCCAGACACCATAGTGACAGGGAGAGTTCATTTCGCAAGTGTCGGCACTTATTTTTATGTGACCAGGTCCATCAGAGCTTTTATTAAATCCAGCCTGATACAATCAAAACAGACGCGGTGAAATCCAGCTCTGCTGAATTGTAAAGGCGACGTATTACCTATCATATCGGAGATGACAGGAAGTTTCATAGCAGAATCTTACGTAGCAACTTATAATGAGGAGATGTCTGAATGGGGTTTCGACTGTGTGATCCTAGCAGTGTTTCCCAGCAGCTGCTAATGATGACAGGTTTACAGTCAGCAGGGGCCTTCCTGTGACAACCCTGCATGTTGAGTCACCTCTTTCCTTCTGATGGAAAATGACAACATTTTAGATCGTGACAACTTTGCTCTTTTCTTTGGTGCAAATGGGAGGAGAGCCGAGCTGGCTTCTTCCCCTCCAAGCAGAGGCAGAGATGTTTTCTGTCATGAATAAATTAACTGAGCAGAGGGGCAACCAGCATTTCAGGCAGCTGTTGTCTTAGTGGGTCATGAGAGCTGAACTGTAATGTTTCAAGGAGTGTCTTCAGGAAGCCAGGGCCTGAGGACAGTCTAAAGGGCAGCGTGATTGCCGTCTTTTAACATCTGGGACTGTTGATGGATTTTTTCTTTAAAAAAAAAAAAATTACTTGACAAGGTGCCTTTGAAAAGGTTTTGACCTGCAAATGTAATAAAAACGAACACTGTCGTGGATGGTCGTCTTTGGCGGTTGACTTCTATTTATCCAAGCAACCATACCTTCCCTGGTACGAAGGAAACTATTGCAGTATTTGAATGTCATACATGTTAGCTTTGCTTTGCTGTGACCAAAATACCTGAAAGGAACAACTTAAAGGGGGCACAGTTTATCGTGGTTCATGGTTTCAGAGGTTTTGTCCATGGGCAGCTAACTTCATCCTTCTGGGGATGGAGTGAGGCAGAGCATCATGGTGGAAGAGCATGGAGCAAGAAGGCTGCTCAGCAACAGGAAGCAGAGAGAGAGCAAGGTGCCAGGGACAAAATATACACCCCAAAGACAAACCCCTCATGACCTACTTCCTCCATCCACACCCTAACCGCCTATATTTACCACCCAGTACCGTAGTCCTTTCAAATTATTAATCCACCAGTGGATTAATCCTCTGATTAGGTCACAGCTCTCATGACTGATCATTTCACTTATTGCTATATTCCTGTGTTGTCCCACACATGAGCTTTTGGGGGATACCTCGCATTCCAAACCATGACAGCTTATAAGGAGGACCTCTCTCATATCATTAGTCCTCAGCATGGATCGGAAAGCAAAAATGTACTAGCTGTAGTGCAAAGGGAAAAATGGGTTCTGTGTAGTTCCAAAGAAGAAATTTTCCTTCTTTCTGATGAATTTGAGTTTTCTAAATTAACCTACAATATTTTGAATTTAGGAGAAATCTAGGCTATACCTTAGGGGGATTTTAAAAAACCCTTCCAACTCCATGCATCTAGAGACATTTTAGTGTTTTCCAACATGTTATAAAATCTTCTGAGGAAGAAAAGAAGACTGTGTTAGCTGTGCTTTAAATGCTTTTGAGCATGAAAGCCAGGTAAAGGCCTAACAGATTTTTCCAGTTCATTGTTACAGATATTCAGACTATTTAAAAAGAAAATGTGCTGGTTATCATTTCAAGTAAATTAGACTTCATTGTCACTTAGGCAAGGAGATAAGGTCAGATTTTTACTTAAAAATCATCTCAAGACGAGACATGGTCAGCTCTGGAAATATTTGGTTTCTTCCTTTTTGTGAATATTGGCTAATTTTGTATGTACTTTTGTTTATTTGCCCTTTCTTTGGCCTTTACTGAGGCCTGTATTGTATGAACAGTGAGATGTAACAATGGCCTTAAAGTGATTTGTGTGAAAAGTATTCCTCACCTGTTCCTGTGGGCTCAACTGGCTCAGATGGTATGGTTTGCTCCCCTGGAAACCTGTACGGTGAACTTCAGGTGAGGTGAGCAGGGGGACCGGTTCTGATGGAAAAGCAGGCAGTTCCCTGTGTGTGTCCTTAAATTCTTCTGGTTATGGCACAGTATGTCTGGGTTCAAACTCAGATCGGTTTAGGAAGTTCTGAATGAGTCTCTCCTAAAATAAACACCATGAGGCTGAAAAGCCAGAGGCACTGGAGTGGGAAGGTTAAGAAGAGGAGACCATGAAGTCGAAGCTCTATTCTGAAGGAAGTCAGAACCAGGCCTCCCCCCCCCATTCCCGCAGGGTTAGTAGAGGTCCCTTTTTTCCTTAGCTCTTTCTCCTATTGGAGGATGTGAACTCAGTGGGAGAACTGGCCTCGACCTCCGCTCCCTCACCCCATCACTACCTGGGAGGTCTTGCCAATCGCTCCTGATAAGGGGTCATCCTAAAGATGAATGATGGAACCCAGGCTGGACTGCAGTTGTCCCCCTGCTGTCACTTACGAATGGATCCTTATCTCATCCACATTGGTAGGAAGGAGAGGAGACTATTCAACCTGCCACTCTTTCTCTGCCCCCTCTATTCTGCCATGTACCCTCCTGCGTGGAAATAAATGCCTACTTTGGTTAGGACATCCTGATTGATATCAGGGAGGGGAAACCTTCTCCTGTACCCTCTTAGGTTCAGAGACTGTAATCCCATGGATTAAACTGGCAACAGAGGCAAGGGGGGTGGTGGAGGGAGTTGATGTACAGTTCCGTGTTCCTGCGCAGGAACACTCAGGAGCGGGTCAAAGAGGCTGTTAGAATCCAGGAGTGTCTGGAGCGGGCAGAGAAGGCTTCTCTGCAAGAGTAAACAGAGTTCTTTGAGAAGGAGAAATTGGGTAAGAGAACCAATGGGAGATAAGAAAGTGCGAGATAACGCTTGTTTCTGCAGGTGTGAGTGGGCTCTTCATCTTTGTGGCCATGGAGTTTCTCCAGACAGGGGGTTGTGGTGGGTCTACTCCTGCTGTCTCTCTCTGAGTAGAAGCTGCCCCAAAGAGGGGATTTATGGTCGTCCTCATTCCTCAGAAGTTTTTGCTGTCAGATAACAGAAGCTCCCAGAAGGCCTCTTTTTCTGTATCTGTCAGCTTAAATGATCTGTCTAGTTACTCTGGGGATCCAAGTGGGGTCCCCACATGGACCAGGGTCAGCCGCAGCATTTCCTTATGTGCCCAGTTTGTAGTGAAAGAAGATGATTTTCCTGCTTCCAGAATCCTCCAGACCCTCAGAATGCAAATGTGCTAGGAAGAGAGAGTAGAGGATCTTCTAAAAAATGGGGCAGGAGCTCCTGTCTGAGGACTGTCAGGCATAAAGAGTCTCCTAACGGGATGCCTCCCCTCCTCCTGTCCTTTCTGTTCTCTTGCTAAAGGCATCATTTCCAGCCCCATGATCCTTTGTTTCTTGCATTTTCCTTTCTCCTTTGGAGATGATTTTCACACCAGGCAGTCCTCTGGTCAGGTCTCTTAATATCCTCCCCCTGTCTCCTCCTCCTCTGAGGTCTTGGAATATGTGCTGCGAATGTTTCTCTGCACACTGCCGTGTGGTGGGTGGCCCACAGTACATGGGGGTAGTATCAGCATGTGGTTTGGGGTTGTTCTCTGCGCATGTCCTGCTTACAAAACCAAGTGTTCATTTGAATTTTACAGAAAAATCACAAAACACAGAATAAAGGCACTGTTCTTTCCTCCTGATCAGCTTGAGAATAAATTGCGTTAAGCCGTCATATCATCCCCCAAAACCTAGTCATATATTCCTTACTAACCAAGGCATATCACATAAGAAGGGCCGCAGTCTTTGGTGCCTCTTTCCTAGTGGCACACTGTTCACATTTGTCTCATCCCTCTGATGTTTACTTTGATCATTTAATTAGTGATGTCTACACACTGCTCCAATTTGGAGGTCATCTGTGGGGAGATACTTGATGTTATGCAATGATGCCATTCCCTGCAAATTTCCAGCTCATTTGTTACTGCCTTGGTGTAATTGGTAGATTGCTGTTTACCAAGTGTATTATCCTCCATTAGTATCATGTCTTATTTTGATGCTCAGATTGCCTTGGATTTGCCTAGTTGGAGCCACCTGTACCTGTTTTGTTTTTGTTTTTTTTTTTTTTTTTGGTCCCTTCAGCATGCCTCTGTCATTCTTTGATATGCTTTTTCTTTCTGACCCAACAAGATATTCAGAATGTATCTTCTTTCCTGTCCCCAATCCTGGAATTAGCCATTTCTTCAAAGAGCCTGATTTTTCCCTGTGGCCTTGTGGTGGGGGCGTTATTGTCCGGGGATTGGTAGAAAATAGCTTCTAGAACCTAAGACCTGGCATTAGCTACGCTCACTGCTCTTAGGGTGTCGCTGCTGCCTGGTTCTGGGAACAGAGCTAGGGTGTTGATGTGCATGTACCTACTAACCCTTGCTGGAGTCAGGATCCCATCCAGGTTCCAGCCCCCACCCAGCATGCCAGCTTCCTGTTAGCCTTTTCTTTTTCCATATTTGCAGCTCTTCTCCTGGAGGTGGAAACCTGGCTCAGGCCAGCTTCAATGGACTTGTTTAGTTTTTACTTCCTCAGGCCCAGATCATCCCAGTGGACTCTGCCTGCATGCAGATGGCCTCCTCTCCATGTGTGGCCTGCTTTCTGCCTGTCACAGGCTGGGTGCCTCCCACACGGGCTGCACTGCCCTAAAGAGGTCCTTGGGACCCACTCCTTTGAAAAGGGACAAGAGGCTGTAGGGTTGGGCAGGTAGAGTGTCAGCTGAGGCAGGTCCTAAAGGGGCTACACTGAAGGCTGTCTGTCTTTGATGGGAGGGTATACTGGCCACATAGGTGGGTCCCATACCACCCGTGCACCATGACTCCTAGACAGCGTTGTGCAGGGAGGGCGGGAAGTCACCCGTCATCTGTAAGCCATGCTCTAATCTCATTTTTATTCATTAGTGGGTTTTTTCTATTCATGAGAAGTTTTACTAAAGCACTTCTGCTGAACCATCCCAAATTAAGGAGGGAAAAAGCCACCCTCTTCCCGTTTCCCACAGGCAAGTGCTCCCGTTAGGGCCTTGTGACTCAGAGGCTTGGCCAACTCAAGTATCTGATACTCTTTGAGCGCTCCTGCTGCAGTTTGACATCTGACCTGGTGTTTACATTTCTCCTGCTTTTTTATGTCTTATTATTTTATTTCTCTAAGAGACTTTAAGAATCTTGATATTGAGCTCTTTTAAACAGAGCCCTTGGACCACCAAACACGTCATGGATAAATCTGCAAGGGAAAACATACCCATTAATTTTTTGTTTCCCACAACACGGGGGGATATACAGTGTTCGCATAGTTCTGCTGGTTTGGGGGCACGAAATGTATCAAAAGCAAAAACCTCCCCCTCCCCAAAAGCAAGTCCTAGAGACCACTCCTCTGGGATAGGGATGGGGAGGTTTCTACAGTAGGATTGATAGAGGTCCGAGAAGAATCAACCGTTGTGCAAGGCCGGAGGATTTAAAGCATGATTTTATCTACAAAGCATGGCTTTTTAGTTCTTACTCCACAGAAAGTCAAGCTTGGCACATCAGAGAAGTTAAAGAAAGAGGAGGGCAGAGGAACTGGGATATGAAAGAACACTGAATAAATATAAAGTACGTTTTTTCAAGTTAGAATCTAATTTTTTTTTTCCTGTTGAGACTTTAAGAAGTGATTTATTGGGGGAAAATGAGTTTTTCCAGACTCCAGAAAGACATTAAAAAAAAAAAAGAAGCTGAAATACGACTTAGTAGCAGTTTTTTCTATTTATGTCTATTACCACATTGTTCTTTGCGAACCGGATCAAGGTTCTTGAACTTATTTTTCACCAGTAAGTGACAGAAATGATGGTCTCCTTGTTTTAGACTCAGATTTGCACAAATTAACTTCCTGCTCTTCCTGTTGTGTCCTGTCATGGACTGCCGGGTACCTGAGTGTACCAGCGTGAGAAATGCCACAAACAGTATGTAGTGGTAGCTTTAGTAAATAACATTTGTACTAATTTTGGGGAAAACAACCAAAATCAAGAGGAATCAACTTCCGGGGTAGACCAGAAGGTTAGGTGAAGATTTGAGGTCCTTACCTTACTGGTTGGCATTGAAGGCCTACCTTGGAGGTTGATCCCTCTTGATTTTGGTTGTTTTCCCCAAAATTAGCACAAATGTTATCTGCCAAAGCTACCAACCACTATGTACTATTTTTCTACAAAATAAATTGCTCAGGATTTCAACTTAAAAATTGGGATCCACATCAAGAACAGTTTCATGGGCACAGCTGTTCTGATGCAGCCATGTCATGGCCTCTGTGTTTAGTGAATGTGAACTAATCAAAGACCAGTGGTCCATGCCAATGGGAAAGTTTACCGCTATTCTGAGCCCATGATAGCTTTAAAAACGTGTGGAAAGGTGACCAAAACTGATTTCCAAGTGCTCGTGTTTTCGGCTGGGCTTCCTATCCCGTTAAATCCTGGGTAAAGCCTCCAGGAACTGTTTATAAATCAAGAACTGTCCATTCTACCTTCTGTAGATCTGTGGCTAGTCATTGCTGATGTTTTTCTTAGGAAAAAGGTTTCTTTCCTGCAGGTGAAGAACAGCTTGCTATCTGTATCTGAATCTCAGAAGCATCTATATTCTCCAATCCCTTGTCGTGGGGAAAAGCGAGAAAGGACAACCTGGATTTGTCATTATAGTTAAACAATATCGGTTGCACTTTCCTCTGTTGCCACCAGGTCATAGGGAAGACCCTAAGAGAATATTTAAATACCATGGCAGTAAAGATGGCATCTCTGTAAGCAATGTTAGTTGGATGGTAAGATTTTCATACCCTTAATAAAGTTCATTGTAAGGAAAAAGAGGTTTGAGTTTCTGGATCTCATTTTTCTGGTGCCTTGAGAAAAGTTTTGGGAAAACATCAATATTTACACTCTAGACTGTTCTTCCCCTGAAGGAAGAGAAAAACACTTAAGGAAGCCCTTAGAGAATCATTGCAGAATGTAAACCAAGAAAGGGCAGAGTGCATGGCAGGCAGTAGCCATGATCAGAGGAGAAGCAGATTTGTAGGTGACAGGCTGTCTAGGAGTCCCTGTTCTTGTCCCTCTCTTTCCTCTTGAGGTTGTATTAGCCCAGACACCATAACAGTAACCCCAGGCTCAGTGGCATAAACAGTAGACATTCATTTTCTCATATCCTGGGTGCTGGGAGGCTAAGGCCAAGGAGTCAGCCAGGCAGATGTCTGTGGATGACTGTGGATGGCCATTCTCTGTGTACATGCCTCTAGAGTCTCCTCTTCTCCTGTCGACACCAGTCCTGTTGTTTCATGGTCCATCCTCTATATGATTTAACCTTAATTTCTTTGAAGGCCCCGTTTCCAAACACAGTTGCAGTATGAGATAGGGCTTTAACATGAATTTTGGAGGGGACAGAGTTCAGTCCTTAACAAGAATGAGGTATCTTAGGTGAGGTCCTTCTGTTAAATTTACTGCTTCTTGTTCTCTCTCTTTAACTTGAAAAATGAATTTCATTATTCCTGATATACAAATAAAGACTCTTAACTTCCCAAAGACTTCAGTGTGCCCATTTTTGCTCCTGACACATAGAAGCTTTTTCTGTACCCGTTGGCCATTCCCCTGAGGCCTGTTCTGGTTCTGTGACCTCCAAAGCCATGCGCTGTGGGGCGCCCGCAGTGCCAGGAATCCTTGTGTGTGGTCTCCTCATCTTGTGACTGGGCTGCAGTTGCTGGATTTTGTTTTTTGTTTTGTTCTCATAAAATCCATTGTGTTTCTCTCCTTTTAAATGTGACCTTGCTTACGTATCACCATTCTGCACAGATGCCATTTATGAATAATGGAAATTGTCCCCCGTTTCAACAAGGTGATATGCAGTCTTGGCAAAGATGTCATTTCAGTGTTCTGAATTTACATGGTGTTTCAAAGCAGAATCATGATCCCATATACACTTGTGCTGTTCAAAAATGAAATACAGCTGCAGCAAAATATCCTTTAGATTTCATGAACTTCATTTTGAGGACCATGCTGGTTAGGTATGTATCAAACACTACTGATCTTTGGCATGAGGTTATATAGAGAACAATGAGAAGGAAGTCCTTACTGCAGATTTAGTACCATTCCCACACATTTTTTAAAAAATATTTTTGTGAGATCGTAAGGAAGTATATAAAAGCCAATAAAATGCAAACCACACAGCATACTTTGTTATTAGAAAATGAAGTGGCTTTGGAATATGCTGGTCCTAGTAATCATTTGGTTTTACTATTGCTTTCCCTTCCTTATTTTCTAGGTACAGAGGTAAAACGTACAGGGCTGTGGTTAAGATCGTGCGAACATCTGACCAAGTAGCAAATTTCTGCCGACGAGTTTGTGCCAAGCTAGAATGCTGTCCAAATCTGTTTAGTCCTGTGCTGATTTCTGGAAACTGCCCAGAGAACTGTTCCATTCATACCAAAACCAAATACAGTAAGTACAAATGATGAAAAAAACCTAACAACATTGGTCCGTAAGCCGGAACTGCAGCATAATATAGTTGGTTTTTGATTTATTTTTAGCCTTCTGAGTAGTGTTTCATAGGAGCTGCTCTGGAAAATTGTTTTTAAGATTTGTTCTGGAAGATTCCTCTGTGTTTTTAGCCTGGCATTGAGGGAGGGATGGGGTCAATTCAAAACAAGGTGGATTGTCATCTTCAGGCTTTGGAAAAGGAGAAAGGAGAATGTGTGCACTGTCTTGGATTTTCCATAGATCACTTACTCCACAGCATCTTGTGATGCTCAGAAACCCAGATTCATCTCTTATCCTTATGCTGAGAAGCCAAAGAGGTCTTTTGATGCCTTTCTTGCAGATCCTTGTCGTGGCAGCTTCTCCCCTGGTTAGATACATGCTCAGTACTCTCTGAGGGCTACCGTAACTAGAGGATTCTGGAACAGCCGTCCCCCCCCCCTTCTTTATCCCCAGCCGCCTTTGCCTCTCCACTGTAAGGCAGGATTCAACCTGGTACCACTTTTCTGACTGGGAGGGAGCATGTGCCTCTGCCAATCCCATCTCATTCAGTGATCCTGCTCTGGGCCGACAGCCACACTCTGCCCTGTGCTTCCTGTGTCTTGGTGGCCTTCTCCATGTTGGTAGCCACTCCAGATGTCTCTCTCTCTGATATCTCAAGCCCTGAAAACAGCTTCTGAACTCCCCAGTTCTCTGTCATCCCAGGGGCAATTGGCTCTGCCAGCCCACATTCCAGCCCCCTGCTGGAGAGGACAAGGACCCACACAGTGTGGCCAGTACTCTCTGAGCCACAGCCACCTGTGACTCATCCATTTGGGTGTGGGAACCAGGAATCTGGACGTGTCTGAGGCACTATTCAGGGTGTGATGTCCTTCTATCTAAGCACACTCATCTGCCTTCCACTCGTGTTTCTACTAAAGCTCAGCCACGCTCTGTGGCAATGATCCCCATTTCAGTGTACCCACATGGTCTTGGGTGAGAACCCAGGTGGGTTCATGTCTTCTGCTTCCTGAAGAACTCATCTCCACAGCCTCTGACTTTTTCTGTGGCAAGAATTCACTAGGTACCAGCCACTCCTGAATGAGGAATGATGAGGGTTAAACTTAGCCTTGAATTTTAGTGTACAAACGAGCTTCCTCATATGACTGGGGAATGGGAGGGAAGGAGCAGCTATTAAAACTCAATTAAATGAAGCCGAAATGAACTTGAAAATGATCCTGGATCTGGTTTTATAGAACTTCAAAGTCTGAGATTCCTTACGTGGTCTTAGAGTGAACATTGCTACAGGCAGAACCTGAACTCCAGTCAGAGGAGCGCAGAACAGTATTTCGATGGAATCCAGAACAGCAGGAGTTGTTCAGTCTAATTCTAAGGCCCCCCAAAATGTACTGACCTCTGGTTACATTTAGTTAAACCAGGTCTGACCTCTGTAGCCTGCTTCTAAGAGGCTGAACCAGCCTTGCCCTGCCTGCTTGGGATTTGGGGCGTGAGAATGGTTTTTCTTTCCCGTCTCTCTCGCCTCCTCTCCCAATCTATCTCCTCTCTAGAGCAGTCACCTCCCCTCCTCTTCTCTTCCTTTGTCCAGATGTGTGTGTGTCTGCAGCCTAAAATGTTTTAAATCTTCTTTCTTCCGTAGCCTACTATTATGGAAAGAGAAAGAAGATCATTAAGCCCCCAATTGGGGAAAGCAGCATTGAGAGTGGACACCCAAAACCAGCCCGAAGAAGGAAACGACGAAAATCCATTTTTGTGCAGAAGAAGCGGAGATCTTCGGCTGTGGACCTAACTGCAGGCTCTGGGGAGGTACCGTCTGCTTAACTAGAAGCACCTGCCAACATTGGGTTTTAAAGTATGGCCCTTCCTGGCAAGTGACTGCTTTACAGGGAAGATTGGGACAGAATGGATAAAAGTGCAAAATAAGTACCCTCTTCCTGTTTGATGAACACAGCTTAGCTGCTTTGGCTAGAAAAGGGCCACCAAGCACTGACGTTGGGACTATGGGAGGAATGTCAGGCATCCCTGGACAAACCTGGCACAGGTTTTTACTGGCTGTTCTGGGGAGGAAACCATGCTGGGATCTGAGCCTGCACTGTGGCCTGTGGCATAGGCCACCCTGCTGTGCTCAGCGAGTCCCATGCCACCCACCCCCACACATAAATCTTTCCTCTTATTCCCAGGAAAGCGAAGAGGAGGACGCAGACCAGCTGGACGAAGATACTGCAAGTGAGGAGACCGGCTCTGAGCTCCGAGATGACCAGACTGACACCTCGTCGGCCGAGGTCCCCTCGGCACGGCCACGGAGGGCAGTCACCCTGCGCAGTGGCCCAGAACCCACGCGGCGGCCAGTGGAGAGGGCACGCAGGGGCCGCATGGTGCAGACCACCCCTGCAGAGGAGGAGGACAAGGGTCCTGTGGCCAAGACTGAGGGCCCTGAGGTGAGCCCCCGAGCCTGGAGCACAATCACAGGGGCGATTTGGGAGGATTACAAGTTCAAGGCTAGACTGGACAAGGAAGTGAGACCCTGCCTCAAAATAAAGAAAATTGGGTCTGTGGCTCCATGATGGAGCCTCTGGGTTCAATCTGCTGCTACCAACCAACCAAACAACAGGCGAAACAGCAGCAGCCGATCTGGTGAAGCTCCCAAGTTGTTGGGGTCAAAGGCTTTGATGTCACTTGGGCAGACGAGTCCTGAAGCATGAGAAGGGAGCAAGGACTGGAGGAGCTCCCTCATTTCTGAAGGGTTTTTACTCCGCCAGGGCTTCTAGTCAGGAAGAGGGCAGAGTCTAGTGCTCCAGGTCCCTCTGAACACTGGGCTCCCCAAATCTCATCTCCACGTCTCCTGTTTCTGCCTGGCTTTTTGCTTCCCACTGCCTGTTGAGGGGTCACCTCTATGGTGTCATAAAACGTGTACCAGACCTCCCCATGGCAGATGGCAGCTGTTCAGGTGGTATGTGTCATTGGCCCCACCGTCACAGACATCCTAAGGAAGCTGGCTTTCTTGTGCACTTTCTCCCTGTAGCTTGTGATTATGAAAAGAGAAGGAAGATCAGTGAGTTCAGCACCCTAAACCAGCCAGAAGAAGGAGCAGGGTCCCCTTAGCATCCTCGTATCTAAACAGAGATGCTTCGTCCATAAGCAGGCCCAAGATTTCCCCGACCTGGGGCTTCAGGATGGGCCGTCAAGGCCTTTCTTGTATCTAACCTCTGAAGGCACAGGGGTCATTGCAGATGCAGGGGAAGTCACCACTGGGACACTTATGAGGAAACTCCCCAGAGGCTGTTTCTGTGGCTTGTTCAGGTGCCCAATGAGAGAGCCAGGGCAGTGATGACAGCATTAGAAGGACCCAATGGCCACACAGTGTGCAGTGATGGTCTCCTGCCCTGCTTCTCCTACAGGAAACCAAACAAGAGGAGGAGGGGAGGCTCGTCCTGGAGAGCAACCCGCTGGAGTGGACAGTCACCGACGTGGTGAGGTTCATTAAGCTGACCGACTGTGCCCCCTTGGCCAAGATCTTTCAGGAACAGGTATGGCGGCTGTGCAGTTATTGGTTCATGTGAGACTCCAGATCTTAAAGGAACACCCTGTCTTACCTGGCTTCTTCACGACTGCTAGGCGGGGATAGATGTTTCGGGTGCCCATTCAGCTGCAGTTGACACCTGTGAGGGTGTTCTTTGGTGCTGACAGGCAGGTGTGGGAAACCTGACACCCCATGCCCCAGAGCCTGGTTCCTGCTTCTCACTGTCTCACTGACCCCATGGGGATGAGACTCTTCTGATGGCACCCAACAGGGCAGGGGTGAGAGAAGTACTATTAACTGACAGGTGAGTAGTAGTGGTCCAGGCCCCATCTTCATTCTACACTGACCCCACAATGGTACACTTGCTATTTTACTGTCCAGCAGGATGAACATCTAACTCCTGCTTGTACTTCTCAAATGCCACCTAGCTGGGGTGTTGGGGGTCCTGGTTGCAGCCTGGCTGGACTGGAAGTCAAGGCTGATTGCTGGGCCTTCCCTGGTGGGGAGTGGGCTGGGCCAGATCTCCCTAGGGCCTTTTCCTGCAGTACAGCCATTAGTTCTACAAGTGTTTTGTTAGTGCCTGTTGGCCAATCTGGGTTTCAAGCGTCTAAACTCTAAGGTTTGATTATATGAGGCACAGAAACAAATGACAACCACAAAAATAACCAAGAAATTCAGCACTGTGACATTAATTCAGGTCCCCAGGGTCATACCCAATCTTCCCTGTTTTTTCCAACATTCAGATTCCTTCTATTTGGTTTATAGATGATGGCCAGTGCTCTTAGTTCTGCTTGGCAAGAGAATAAGGAAATGTGTGTCTGCTGGACCTTTTCTGAGGGGAAGCCCTCCATCCAATGTGTCCAGGTTAATGCTGTTTTCGTCACTGTTTGCTTACTTTCTACATTTCTTTCATCACAAAACAGTTTAAAACCTTTAGTATTATGATGGACAATGTACAATCCATTGATGCAGTCTAGACCTGAAGGGAGTTTGTAACCTAGCAAATGAAATGGCTGTAGTTAGCTACAACAGCCAGACAGGTGACAGTGTGCCCTGACAAGAAAGGGTTTTCATTTCCATTTTTAAGTTAATCTGAAAGCAAACTGCCAATCTGCACACAAGCCACCTTGCATCATTCTGCCTCTGGCCTTGTCTAAAGAGTTCAAGTGTAAGCCTGTGGCTCAATTGACTGAAATCCTTGCATTGTTCCACAGTATAATCAATATCTGTCTTTTCAGAACTTGCATTAAAAAATACTGTTTTCCATATAATAAATTGAAGATATGTTCATCCAGTCTATTTTTAGATTTAACAAACCATAGTCTAGAAAGAGAATTTTTCAAGCATTAAGTCAGAAAAATACAAAAGGAAGGGTCTCTGGTTTCCCATGGAATTTCCCACTTTTCTCCAAAATCAATGTTGTAATGAATTGTGCAAAGCAAATTAATTCAGTTCCCAGCTCCCTCAAGTAGGGTAGTTCTTGACATTCAGACTTTTCTCCGGAGAAGTCCTGGAGGTGGAGCGATTCAAAGCTGTGTGATAAATTTGGGCTGAAGGAATGAATGGGACAAGACAGGCGAGTTCCCTCCTGGCCTTCTGACACTCGCTGACACTGGGAGGGGATAAACTGGGAGTGATTTTTTTTTTTTTAACCTAAAGAACCCAGGGTAATGACCTTGTCCTTTATTACAACACACAAACAGAAAGAGAATTTCATGTCAGAGTTTAGGTGATGGGTTTTTGTGATAAGCCAAATCTTGGTCTTAAAAATAAAAAATAAAGCAATAGATGAAATCCTGTGAAATTTATTGCATAATGCAACATTTCCCCATCTGGCATTTATTTATTTATTTTTATTAGGGAATATTTTATTGCATATGAAGCCGACTGAAAACCCCATTTGTTCACATAAGTTCCCTGTGGCTGGTTGATACCATTTAAATTGATGAAATCAGCAAAGTTCACAACTTTCACAGGATTCATGATGGCATTGCAAAAAAAAAAGGAAAGAAAAAAAAACATTGTGTTAAAATATGTAACAAATGCCAATTATACAGGTTTTAATATGCTAATGTGTGTCTGTTGGCTCATTTATTTTTTCAACAATATTGACCACCTATTATATGCTTTATGATATCCTACAAGTGTTTATGGAATGTGGTCCATTCTATATTAGCATTAAGTTTTGTTTTTGTTTTTTCTTGATTTAGCTTCCAGTGCCCACATTTAAATAAGAAATATTTTTCAGTTGAGCCAGAACAAAGGACTGATTGTCTCACTTCTAGATTTCAAGTTTCGGGAGCTCAAGACCATTTGTGCCAGGAGAGGTTAATAGGCTGGCTCATCCATACCTTGTATACATACATCCTAGTAAAGGAACGTGAAGCAAAGCTGGTTAGAGAGAAAGGCTAAGATCCCACTGGTATAAAGTCCTCTCTTCTTCTAATCCTAAGCCCAGTTTCGAATAGAATCTCAGAACATTTCAAAGACATGAAATGTGACAGCAACATCCATGCTTGTAGACTAAAGCAGTCACCCCCCTCCCTCCAGCCACCTCTTCTAGCGTCACTGAAAAGCTTGGTCCTTCATTCAGACTCTCTTCCTCTTCTGAGAGCGAAAATAGGTAGGCTTTAGTTGATAAGAGTCTTATTTCCACTTAATTTTACATTCCGAATTAGGCAGTTTCACCTGTTATAATAAAAAACTGTTGCCCGCTGGGCTGTGTGAAGTGCATGGGCACTTGAGTCCTTTTCTGACCATCAGACATTTAATTACTAATTTTTACTAATTTGTTATATCATCTTTTGGCCCAGATGACACAGCTCTGATGTGGTGATGCCTCTGGTGGGTCACGGCAGGCGTTATCTGAGCTCTGAGAGGAACTAGAAGGAGCCCGGAGGCTTGATTGGCCTGTGTGCAGAGATCACAGTGGGCAAATGCTGACAGCGGTGTGCATTCCCTCCCCTGGGTGCTGTCAGTTCACAGACTGTTATAATCTTTAGGAGCGTTTGCAAAAATTATAAACTCCCCATTAACAGCACACATGCCTTTTATTTCTGGAATGTTATGGCAACCACTTAGGAAATCTATACTCTATAATTTTATGCTGCAAACATGTACATTATGTAGTAAAAATCCACACATCTATAACTAAAAAAAAACCAAACAAACACAAAACTCTAAATAGTGTTTAGCCTATTCGTTCACCTTTTGTGAATTAATCTGTTCACATACAATAAGCAGACTGCCCAAATTAGCGATTTACTTTTTTAAAAAAAATTTTCAGGATTGTTTATAAGTTTCCTTGCGATTGAGACTGTTTCCTCCTCTTTTTACTTCTCTTGACCTGAGCACTTCCATTGAAGAACTGCCAAGTCCTAAATGAAATGCTCTATCAAAATAAATGTAAATTTACCACATGCTGAGCATGGCTTTCATGTTATATGATTTATTATATTCTATTTCTTTAAAATTAGTAGTCCAGTATAACCTAATGAATGTTCTGCTAGCAATTCTGAATTCTGTAGGAGTGTATTTGTAAGAATTAAGTCAAGTGTGAAGTCTGGGGTGTTATTTGTGTAATCTTTTAGTGCAAAACAACTTCTTCCAAACCAAAGGCTAGGTAAGAGGGAGAGTAGGGGGATCCCTCCCTTGATCCTTGATGGCTGGGGATGTCACACCTATACTCTCTCCTGCCCAGTTTTTTTTCATTCACCCATTTCCCTTCCTGCCCATTGTGAGGTGGACTAAGTGGGTCACATGTAGTCTGCAGCATGAGCAGGTCTGACACGGGTTAGGCATGTCTGTCAGCCACGATTCTGGGGTCCCTGAGGCTTTCCACAGTCCTCCCAACAACCCCAGCAGGGACTACCTGATAGTCGGCCATTAAACCTGACTTCAGGGCTGGGGTTGTGGCTCAGCGGTAGAGCGCCCGTCTAGCACGTGCAAGTCCCTGAGTTCGATCCTCAGCTCCACAGAAAAACAAATAAATAAAATAAAGGTATTTTAGTTGTTCATCTACAACTAAAAACTATATATTAAAAAAAATAAACAAACAAAAAACCTGGCTTCTTCCAGCAAGCATTGTGGAAATCAGGGGTATGAGCTTATTCTCAGTGGCGTGGTCTTTTCAAAGTGATAATACCCAGGAGTTCTATTTTGCATCATTTAATGAGGATAGAAAATGGGTTGAAAACCTGAAAACCTAGAGGTGGCAGCGGTTGGGCTCTTAGGTGGCTCAAATAGGGACAAGATGCATTTTAACCACTTTTCCCCCCTTTAGTAATTGGTCCAGTTTTTAGTTAATTCTAACCAGACGGAGCCAGAATGAAGGAAGGAACTCTGTAACAAACCAGGTGGTTTAGCCTTGGCCTCCCTCCATCTTCCTGCAGATAGGAATTCCATTCAGTTCTTGTTTTCTCCTCACTTCTTAGTACCACATGCACCAGGTTTTCCATGTGGATTATGGGTAAATTGACTTCTTTGGGGGACAGGGATGGGCATGTACTCAAAGGCATGGCCTCCCTGCACTTCTATTTCAGCTAGCAGTTCACACCAGGGCATGTGGCCTCTCCTTCACCCTCTTCCTGCAGCATCAGAACAGAGACCTTTTTTAAAACCTATAGTGTGCCCCTCTGCTGCTGACTGGGCAGGGGGAAGTTGGGCCCAAGGCACTCTCATTGGCTTTTCTGCTTGGGGAAGTCTGAGGACAGGACAGGTGACCAGGTGGTTGGGTGGGGTGGGAGGGACATCTGGTTTGATAACGTCAGAGAATGCCATTTTGAGTCCCCAGACCTTTCAACACTCAAAAAGCATTTGTTGAGAAAATAAGTAATGATCCTCTACTTGAATGTAGTATATATTTATGTCAGTGACCTTCATTGAAATTGTCTGTAGAGAATGAGTTACATATTAGGGCTGATTTTCTAATTGAATACATATGTCCAAGGAAGGCCATCATGTCCAAGTGTGGCTGTTAGAGACTTCTGTTGAGAGTTTAACATCAGAGAACCACAATTCTAGTTCCAATGTTGTCTCTAACCAGCTGTATGATCTTGGCTAGATCAGCTAGCTTTTCTGGTGGTTGATTTCCATCTTAAAAACAAACTTCTCTTTCCTTAGGCTCAGTTGCAGTGTGAGTCCCTTTCCTGTTCTGTTGATTTCATTGAACATGATGGTGAAGCCACCTGCACCACTGTGGTGTAACATCAGCCCACTGCACACTAAAAGTGTATTTCCATGAGACCCAGGGTGCTTAGAAGACTTGGTGTCCCTAGGCTGAAGCCTGTCTCTACTTTGATTTAACATATGTAGGTTTGGCTCCAAACATATCCCTGGCCAGGAAGTACCCTTCCTAGCTTCATGACCTTGAGCCAAACACTGTTTCTTCCAGTTCAATACTTTTTCAATACTTTTGATTCCTCCTTAGTTTAGTCAGCCTTATCAGTAGCCTTTGAAAAGGAATAAAAACAGCATGTGAGAGCAGTACAAGCAAAGGAGAAGAAATTTAAATGTAACCTAAAAAGTATATTGACATTTTATTAGTTTATCTTTCAGGATGTATTCCAGACTGATCTGTTTATTTTGTGGTTTGATAAAGTCACAGGGGTCTTTGTTGAGACATGGTGTCTAGCACCATACCTCATAACTAGTGTTCATCTGTGATTTTAAAATACCAAATTGCACTCATGTTGATACTTTTAAGTTAATGTGTAATCGTTTTGCCTTTGTACTTATTAGGGAGTATTGTGGCTTTTGAATCTGATCAGATAATAAATTATTCTTGCTCTTATTGTTAGTCCTTTGAACCTGATTGGATGATAAATTATGCTTACTCTTGATATCAGTCTTCTCAGGCTGCCATTTATACATACTTCGGTTTTTGCCTTAGATATTTTCAAGACAGTCAAATAAAACATTAGCTTAGGAAAACAACTCTAGTGTGAAATTCACTGATAGGTGATGTCTGAGTCTCATGCTCATGTACTGTTAAATGACTGTTAAGTCCTTGTGGTTTATGGAAGCCCTGGGCATAAAACTTCTCCACGAGACAGAAATTCTGGTATGCTGAGCTCAGTTTACTTCCACTGATTTTTATCAACACCTCAGGACTGTAATCTTTTTGAGATTACCTCCCTCCTCCAGAATTTGAAGACTCTTGGTTGATAGAGCAGATTGCAGTTAAGCATAATAGTCCAATCAAATGGCATCTACATAAAGATTATCATAGGAAGCAAGCTGGCTAAGAGACAGAGATGTTCCCCCAGTAGAGGTCAGGGCTTTGGAATGAGTCTTCATGTCCCTCTTCCTGTAGCAAATTACATTTAACAATGACTTCATGAATATCTTCATGGTACGGGACCCTGTGTGTAGATAAGGAGAGATAAGTAAAATCGAATGAGCAAATGGTCCTGTGTACAAGTAGCAGCTTACTCTGGACAGTTGTTTGTATGTAAATATGAGTGCGTGCGCAGATGTGGTAGTTATCTTCCTTTTACTTCCAGATGTAGGATTCCCTTGAGCATCTTTTGTAAGGTGGTGGTGAATTCCTCCAGTGTTTTCTTGTCTTGGAAGCCCCTTTTTCTCTATTTGTGAAAGATAGCTTATTAGTAGGTATAGTGTTCATGGTTGGCAGGGTTTTATTTTTTTTTTTCTTCTGGCAGAATTTTGAACACTTCATCTCTTTTATCTCCTGATCTATAGAGTTTCTGCCTAGAAATCTGTTCTCTAGTGGGAGATTCCTTAAATGTGATGAAGGAATATACTTTAGCTCTTTTTAGAATTCTTTGGATTTTGATGTCTTTTGAGCCTCCTGGATGAAAGTTCATATATTTCCTAAGATTTGGGACATTTTCAGCTCATATTTCATTGAATAGACTATGTATATATTTTTCCTTCTCTTCTCCTTCTAGAATACTCATTATTTGAATATTTATTCATTTAATGATGTCCCACAAGTTTTAGAGGTTTTCCTCTCCTTTCCTCCTTCTCTCCCGCCCCCCGTACTCTTGTCTCTTGGGTATTTCAAAAGACATATCTTCAAGTTCAGAAGCCCTTTCTTCTGCAGGATCTAGTCTGTTGTTGGAGCTCTCAACAGTTTTGTTTTGTTTTTGGTAATGAGCATTGAATCCAAGGGTGCTTAACCACTGAGCCATATCCCCTGCCCTTTTTATTTTGTACTTTGAGACAGGGTCTCGCTAAGTTGCTAAAGGTGGCTTTGAATTTGCTATCCTCCTGCTTCAGCCTCTGGGATTACAGGCATGTGCCACTACATGCAGCTCTCAACAGTATTTTTAATATAATTTACTGAGTTGTTCAACTTGAAGACTTGTTTGACTTTTTTTCATGATCTGTATCCCTTTGTTGAGTTTCTCATTCATATTGTGAACTGTTTTCCTAATTCATTGAATTGCTTGTCTGTTTGCTCTTGTATCTCATTAAGTTTCCTTCTAATTCTTTTTCAGGCATTTCATCAACTTCCTTTTCTCTGGTGTCTGTTGCTAGAGTTACTGTGCTCCTTTGGAAGCACTGGCTTTTTTATGCTTCCTGTGTCCCTATGGTGATATTTGTGCATCTGTAGATCCATTGACTCTACCAGCTTGGTGGCTTGTGCATTAAGAGATTTTCTCAAGGTGTCACTTCATTGGCTTTGGTTCCAGTTGAGTACCATAGTGTCATCTCTGTATAGCTTCTTTGGCTATATGATGGCTTTGGGTGTAGTGTGTGTGTGGCAGTGGGGACATAGAGCCTATCTGTTTCCATGGGCTCTGGTGGCTTGGGTGGGTGTGTCACCCAGAGCAGCGTGGGTGTTGTCCTCTGTGGAGGTCCATGCTGTGAGGTTGGCATATCTGTCTTTAACCTCTTCTCAGCCATCCTGATGGTGAAATGTCAGAGCTTGACAGTAAAGTTAGAGAGCTTTCATGTTTGATAGAGAGCCCTTTTCTAGTGTTCAAATTGGTAGAGGAAGGACCTGGCCTGGGCAAGGGAGAGGTTGCTTGGGAAGCCATGTCTGAAGCAGCCTACCACTTGAGCTCTTTATACCCACCAGAGTGGGCATGTGAATTTCAGAGCAGTGAAAATGTTCTTAGCAAAAACAGTATTTTACTGACACAAAGGTTAAACAGAATTTGATGGAACAAAAGTAGCACCTTCCCATAGTTGGCCCCAGGCAGAAGCCTGATGTGACCAGTGCGCCCCAGGTGTGGGATGCCACTTCTCTAACCTGGCTTTATTTTCTGGCAGGACATTGACGGCCAAGCGCTCCTCCTGCTGACTCTCCCCACAGTGCAGGAGTGCATGGAGCTGAAGCTGGGACCCGCCATCAAATTATGCCATCAGATCGAGAGAGTGAAAGTGGCTTTCTACGCCCAGTATGCCAACTGACTCCACCCCTGGGGACCTGGCCTGTGATCTTTTGTGATGCTTTGTGAAGGTTTTCAGGACTGAGAATTTGATTTTTTCCAGGATATATAAAGTGGTACATTCACTAAGTATTACCAAGAAGCCAGAGCCCAGCACCTCCCTCATCCACCAGCCTATTTGATGTTTCCGTGTTTTGAAAGCACACTGATGTCCTACAGGAGCAACTTCTACAGAGCATAATTACAGTTCTGCATCAGACCCTGCCAGGATATGGAAGAACTGCTCTGGATATCCACGTTTGGCCTTTCTCCCACCCCAAACCAGGCAGCTTCCTGAGAACAAGTTTTTCTAACCCAAGGCCCACGTTCTTTGAAAGCTGGGCTGAGTACATATGTGGCCAAGGAGGAGTCCCGACACCTTGCCAGTAGTTTTTACTGTACTTGTTCTCAGATGCTTCCTGTCGATACATGTGGCCCTGGTTTAGTGTCATGTATGGCACTGTGGATTGTTCTTGGTGGTAACTCCCTTCTCCATCACAGCTGTGGACACAGATGTTTCAGGATGTCGATCTAAAAAGACATGCTAAATGTCCACATCCAATTCTCTATCAGAGGTGCCTTTTAGACAGTACAGGGGGACAAAAGGAGGCTGGCATCTCATCAAATGACATCCTTGAGTGATTGAAGCCTAGAACATCTGTGAAGGCAAGCAGAGCCACACTATTACCATCATCCTAATTTAATGTTAAACAGGTCTGTGAGTGACTACTTTAGGGAAATGTGAAAATGTATATTGAAGGAAATGCTTAATTTCAGAGAGCAGGAATGGGAAGAGGTCTGGAGGAAGCATTTGGTGAACTAGTTACCTCCACTTAGAGGGATTACTGCAGCAGGTCACTCTGAGTCACTCTGAGCATTTCTTCTGACTTTTCCAGGCATGAGGAGGATGGAGACCCTTGAGCAGTTTGGTTAAATCAGCTAAGTTGTTTGCAGACAAATTGATGGCTCTGAGAGCTGGCTGTTCTTTTACACCCAGCACCTCCATGCGTTCTCATTCTCAACCCAAAGGGACTATTATTCTGATGTGGCTGCCTGCTGCCTTTTTAAAGTTACGCAAGGAAACCATACCTTCATGTTGTCCCAAAGTGAACAGAGGCTTTGTCCCTTTTTGTTTGTTTGTTTTACTTTGTGGTTATTTTGTTTTAAATAACTATGTTGATATTTTCCTTTGACTGGCATCTCAACTGCTCCAGTAATATGGCACGGTGGGCTCATTAGCTACTCATGGTTCAGTGACATTTATAAGGTGTTTGAACTTCAATTGGTTGAACTTCAATTCCTCCCGCTAACCTTTCTTAATATTCCGTAACAGTTACAGATGAAAATGGAAAACACATATTTTATGGCTGAGACTTTTTAGTCTCCCCTTTAGCTGATTCCTACCCGCAAGTTTTATAAACATTTGGTGAATGGACCTGCCTGGGGACCTCTGGTGGAAGGAGTCCCACATGGTGTTGGAGGATGGACATGTCCTTGGTGATTGATGGTCAGCTTGCAGAAGGATATCTGACTTCTAAAGTCTTGACCTCTCTTCAGTTTCCCACTTCTGCCTTCTCAGCCACCTTATTGTGGCCTTAAGAGCTCAGTCCTATGGAGTTAAACTTGGTCTGGTGATTGGAAAGGGTGTCCATTTCAAGATCTGTGGCATTTTCTCTGTGCTCACTCCTTTATGATCCTTCACTGGGGTCCTTTCGAGCTGAGATGTTTCTACTGCATTTGAAAATGGGGATGAAGACATGTGGCTACAGCATCATATTGTACTTTGGGAACAAAAGTCACCTTCTTGTGCCCTTTCCAGTAGTGACATGGAGGAAGAGGTGCTACATCAGAGTAAGGAGGTCTTCTGGAGTCTCCTGAGCTCACCCAGAGAGCCAGAGGACCACCCATCAGGAAGCCCAGGGTAGAAGCAGCCACCATTGCTGGGGAAAACTTCTTGCTTCCCAGGAGCTCACCATCCAAAACTCTCCTTATCCTTTTGACCTGGAGATTAACTTCATTCTTTCTTTGTGGTACTTCAGTTTTGTGTCCACATACTGAGGAGACGGCTGTGACCAAAGCAGAAGAGAGCCCAGTCACCCTGGTGCCATCATGGAGGTGTCTGTGTGCCATCTCCCAGCCCTCCAGGAGAGCTGGGAAACATTTGAGGACCAAGGAAATGCATTTCCTCTGAGAGTGACCAGTGTCCCTATGAACTTGGATTCTCTAGGGATTCCACCGTGTTTCACATCAGCAGCAATTCTGTCACAGAATTGTAACGTGGTTTTCATTTCTGTCTGGATTCACCTCTCACCAGCTTCTTTCTTAAAGATAGGACCAGTTTCCGGAATATTTTGCTGTGTTGTGTCCTTGTTGCTTACGGCAGAAAAAAAAAAAAAAAACCCAAAACAAACAAAAATGGATTTTACTCATATACCCCCAATGCCACCACTGCCCAGAAGCCAAAAATGTCTTGGTCTAAACAACAGTAGACAATGAACCCTGCTCCTTCCCTGGATGGCACTATTTCTTTATCTCTCTTTGATCATCCTTTGGGACCAAATCCTTTCCTGTATGCACCTGGACTGTGTGTACATCACGCCACTCATTACCTCCTAGGCCGGCCGAGCAGACCCCTCGCAGGCTGTACCGTGTAAGCAACCCAAGAAACAAACACCACCTCAGCTGTAGGGATGAGAGTCCATCGCGCAATCCCACCCTGAAGCTAAGGGCACATGTTTCAGCCCCTGACTTCTTGACTCATTTGTACAATGTTGTACAAGAGAATAAAACCTACCAACCTGAAAAGAGCAGGGTACCACCGGCATGACGGAGCTGCTTTGGTTCTCAGCAGCAATCCTTCATCACGGAGCTCCTGGGCTCGGAGAACTCATCTGTCCTTTGATCCAAGTTTGAGTCAACAGAGTATTTGAGCTGTACAGCAATTTAGATTCTTCTACCTTCTTTGATCATATTTGAAAGATCATTTCCTGGGTTCACTTTGATTTGTTGCTCCATAAATTAAAAATGACTCACACCCCAACACTGCCACCTCTGACCTTTAGTACAATCTCTAGGTTGATTTTGGTCAGCCTTTTGAAGATTGGTCTATTTGCTAATTTATCTCATAGAATTTTGAGTGTTGTATGAAGCAAGTGCTGGGTTTGCCTTCTTATACAAAACACCCCTTTCTAAGTTTTGGAAACACTAGGGGTTTTCATACTTATTTTCTAGAACACCCATTTATATTTATTTCTGTATATAGAACTAAAAGCAAAGCACAGTAGGGTTAAGGTCCTCATTGTGGGTTGAACATTATGGCTGCTTTCGGGTTAGGATGATAACTTCTAGGCTCCAGTTACTCTGTATTCTGTCCTTGAAAGCTGTGATTGGGTGTGCAGTTATTTGGAAGGAAAAATAGTAAATTCAGATGTCTGTGGTGTATAAGGAACAAGTCTGTAGAGAGGTCCATCCTGCCCGTGTCTCTTGCGATGTAACAACAGCAAGGGAAAGCCGTGTTGGCACCTATTACATACAGTTCAGTGGTTGTCTTTTTTAATTCACTGTTCATCTCTGTTTCAACGTTTTCTGAAAATTACTCCCTTTAATTTGGCGAAAACTCCAAGTTTGATCAATTCTTGAAGCTTTCATCACTAGACTGGTTTGCCACTTATCCTAACTATGGGATGATAAAATCAAATTGTACTATTTTTGAACTGTTTTTAACAACAACAACAACAAAATAATTATCTAAAAATGATAATTGCTAATACTTGGTTGCCACTTTGGGTGTTGGCTCTAGTTTAAATGATAGACAATAACTCAAGCAGCTTTCGGAGCTGTAGTCTTCTGGGGTTTTTGTTTTGTTTTGTTTTTGTGTGTTTTGGTGGCGAGGGATCAGCACCAGTGAGCATACCGATGGCTTCCCGTCACCAAAGCAGGTGAGCGCTTCGCGTGGGCTGGAGAAACTCACTGAAGAATAAGGAACATTCCAGGACAGTCGTTTGCTGAAAAAAAAATTCCCTTTGGATGGAAAGTGTGAGGCAAATGTTTTAAATAATAGCAAGGATAGTCATCCCATGTGTTGTTCGCAGTGGAAGCTAGCATGATATATCTAGAAGCATAAACTCCCTCATTGTGAATGTCGAAAGCCCTGTTAACTTTTCTGCATTCCAGTTCAAATAGTTTGTATTGAGGTTTGATTTCTATCTTGTGTAGGTTTTGGTGCATAAAAGGGAAGAATCAGTGACTTTACTTTTGAAATTTGCAGGACGAAGGGCATGCTGTTAGTTTGCTGTAAGATTGTATTCTGTATATATGTTTTCATGTAAATAAATGAAAATCTATATCAGAGTTATATTTTAATTTTTATTCTAAATGAAAAAAAAACCCTTTTTACTTGAAAAAATTGTAAGCCACATTGTTAATAAAGTAAAAATAAATTCTGTGATTGTGTTTGTGTCTTCATGTTGAAGGTTATTGAATATTATATTTAGAGTCTGTGTCACAGTTGTTTTGTTCTGAAGTTTTGGTTTTGCCATGAAATAAACATCTGTTTTTAGGCTGTCAGCAACCGTGGCACTCAGAGTCCTATGTGACCTTGCAAAGTCACTTCTTAGCAACTGGTATTTATTCTTTTGTGTTGTTCAGACATTACTGATATCCTCACATGACAGCCCCTGGCCATCTGGATTTCAGTCATATCGTTTTTCCTATAATTGTCTGGTGCTTTAGTAGAAGTATTGATTTATTTTTACAAAAGCCATAATTAAATAGCTGTGTTCACCTTTATCTTTTCTTCTTCCAAATTAGGTCTTGGCATCCAAGTTGGAAAGGGAAGGGATCCCTTTGCCCCGAGCCCCATTGTGGGGCTCTATTGTGGTGGAGTGCACTCCTTCCTCTCACCACTAGGGGGACACCACCCAGGGACAGAAGCAAGGAGGGAGGGAGTCGAGGCACCCAGGTGGTGCAGGTATGAGACCCAAGTCACTTCTCCTTTCTTCAGTCCAGTCAGTCTCCAGTATTTTACTTCACTTTTTCCTTTAACTGCATCTTGGGTTTTGTTGTTTGTGGTTTTGTTTTGTTTTTGGTACAAGGGATTGAACCCAAGGTGCTTTACCACTGAGCCACATTCTCAGCTCTTTCTATATTTTATTTAGAGACAGGGTCTCACTGAGTTGTTAAGGCCTCCTTAAGTCACTGAGGCTGGTTTGATCCTCTTGCCTCAGCCTCCAGAGCTGTGGGGATTATAGACGTGTGCCACCCCACCAGCTCCATTTAAATATGTTCTTTTACCCTGCTCACAATCAAGTTCTGCATATGGGAGTTTTTATTTTGTTTTAATTATGAAATCATTTTTAAATAGTGAAGAGTTAAGGAAGGCAAACAGGAAAGTATTGTTCATTTTCTCAAATGTACCAGAGCAGATAGATAAAGGATTGTGTAGCCCAATGTGGTCCTTGCATTTCTATTTGTACTTGGAGATATTTGAGAACAGAAGTTTAAGCACTGACTATGTAATAAAACAAAATGCAACCTGCACCACCCTTCCAGGTTCTAAATTGAATGAATCAAAACAAAACAAACTACTTTTCCATGTTGCAAGCAAAAACCTACTTTTAAATTCTGCCATCTGGCCTGGCTTTTTACAACCTTCTGTTCACTAGGGTTACTTCCCCTTTACCCTAGGGTTTGTGATGTGGCTATTTTAAGTTTAAGGAACGTAATCCTTGCTGGAGGTTCAGAGACAACACTGAGAAAATATTATTTAGGTGGACATGACCCAGGGTGAGTCCACGTGAGACCAGGCTGTTTATCAGTGAGATGAAATTCTACATCAAAATAATAGATGAGCCAAGAAGGTTTATTAGGGAATAATTTCACCGAGAGGTTTTTGTGACATCAGCCCAAGCACATCCCATATAACCTATCTCATCTGTTGCGTCAGAGTATATGGCTCAGTGTTCTCTTGCTGTTAGAAATAAATGACAATTTGTAGTAATAAACAAAAAGCTTTACTTTGTTATTCTGAAATGAGACCAACACACGATGACCACTGCCACCATGCCTCCCCAGCCAGCCCCAAGTATTTGTTTTGTGACAGTAATGCTGTCTTTTTTTTTTTTTTGAATTTTTGGAATAGTGGATATACTACAGTTAGGTGTACATTGTATGTTTGTGTAGAGAGTGAACAGGATAAAGACAGACATTGGCGAGGAGGAAGACTTTAAGTATTGCACTTATTGCTGAGTTTGAATACTTTTTACCACTTGCCAGGTATGTAACACAAATCTCAGTTTTCTGGAAAAGGTAGGTATTAATACATCCATGTGTGGTTGGTAGGAAGACTAGATATTGGATAAATACTGCATGATTCTAAGCAATGTTAGCACATGGTAGCTAAGTCAGGTATCCAGCTTCATCAGGCACCGTCAACTCCTTGGCCACTTGCTCATCAGAACATCCTGGCCACTGTTGCCACTATGTCTTTCATGCACACCTCAGCAGGAGCCTGGACCACCCAAGACACCCACACTCCATCTAACCCTTGAGAGTTGTTTACTACCCATCATTTCTGAACTGTGTATCATTGGAAGCAGGATGGACTTCTCCAGCAACTGACCAGCAGGGTGGGTGACGACTCATAGGTAAGAGGCACTTAAAGTTCTGGAGTACCCACCTGGATCTGGAAGGGAGAGAGGACCCTCCTGTCTCCCCTGCACGGTGCTTGTGTATGGCTGCCCTGCAACTTTTTTTTTGGAATTTTTGTGACATCCAGATGTTGGGCCTTCCAGATGTTGGGCCTGTGACATCTCACTTGATGGAGAAGCCACCTGTGTTTGCTCAAGCGGAGGCCATCACCATAGTATATTACCTTGTATTTGCTCTCCTTTCACCTTGCCTCATTTTCCACTTTGCCTTATTTCTGCTGCCTTGGTATTTTATTCCACAATAAAATACAACAATAGAGACTTTGCCTGAGACAGGGTTATCTTTTGCATTCCAGAGGAGACAGTTTTTGCCAAAGGTTTTCTAGAAAACGGTCCATGAGGATGGAAATCTGGAATCATTGCCACCTGTCTGAAAGTCACAGGGACGGACACCTTTGCTCTTTATAAGTAATGAATAACACAGTCAGACACTGAGAGGTGTCATGATCACTAAAGCTTTTGCTTCTGGCAAATTTGAATAAGTAGCAGGTGGAAATCAGGGCTGTGGGAGATTACATGCCATTGCTTATGGTGGGGGCAGTGTAATGTTAATAAAGGTGGTGTGTAGGTAATGGTATTTGGCATCCTCAAAAAGGAAAATGAGAGGCTTAGGGAAGCAATTTATCACCTCAAGAGTCTCTAAGGCAGCGTTCAAAGACTCTTTCATCTTATGAAGCCAGAAGGAAGACCCACTGAAAACCAAGCCCAGGACCTGGTTAATAGAACGGCAGAGT